TTCTACTCTGTCCTATATAGTCGTTCTGAGTCAAATTGAATTGATGGCAATGGATTAATACATATGTAAGCACAGATACCTACCTATGTAACCACTCATGTATTTTTTAGTTAACGGTGTTGTTGCAAAATTGTATATGTTATGCTTTTTACCAAAATTGTCCCTTATTCTTGTGTCATCATTTACCTAGGTCACGTTGTGCTGACTTCATCCTTATTTGGTATTGCCTTACCCACCCATCACCAAAACTAACAAGTGTTTACTATCTAGAAGTAAAGCGAGAATGCTCATTAGAAGCAAGGATGGCGAGACTTTGTCTCACATACTTTGGATATGTTATAAGGAGGGACCAGTCCCTGGAGAAGGACATCATCCTTGGTAAAGTAGAGGGTCAGTGAAAAAGAGGAAGACCCTCAATAAGATGGACTGACACAGTGGCTGCAACAATGGGCTCAAGCATAACAACGATTGTGAGGATGGCACAGGACTGGGCAGTGTTTCGTTCTGTCGTCCTATCTAGAGTGACTCACCCTCCCATCCCTGGTAACTACCAAAGAATGTTGGCTTTCTGTACCTACGTATTCTTATCTTTTTATAAAAGTGAGATCATACAGTATTTGTCCTTTTGTGATTGACTTATTTCACTCAGCATAATGTCCTCCAGATTCACACACGTTGTAATGTATTTTGAGAACTCACCATTATTCTTTATGGCTGCACAGTCTTCCATTGTGTATGTACCCGTTTGTTTATCCATTCATTTGTTGATGGGCACACAGGTTGTTTTCACCTTTTTGCTACTGTGAATAATGTTGCAATGAACATAAGTGTGCATATGTCTGTTCATGTCAGTAGCTTTAGTTCCTTAGAGTATATGCCTAGGAGTGGGACCGCTGGATCATAGGGTATTTCTATTTCTAGCTTTTTTAAGAAGCTTGACTGTAATCTTTATGGAAGCAGATTGCCAGGACTTTCTTCCACGGCACTGCTGGGTGGGTTCGAACCGTCAACCTTTCTGTTTGCAACAGAGTGCAAACCGTTTGCACCACCCAGGGACCTCCTCTCCCCCCTAGAGCCTTCTTAAATCCCTAAGGCCCCAGAGAGAATGAGAGTACCTGCTCCCTTCCTCTTACTGGGCAACGGGCTCTGTTAGGTGGCAAAAAGGCAGTAAAGATGGACGACACAGGAGACCCACCTTCAGTGGCAAGGGTAGAACCAGCTCATCTTCCCTCCTCACTCCACCCCACAGTGCTCCATGCAGAAGCCCAGCCCCTAAAAGACTGTCACTTGCCCTTCTGGAATCTGGTCAAGTGCAAAGGTTCCTCTTCTTAGCTCCTTGGTCTTTCCCGGAAACTCTACCCAGTGGGGCCAGCTCCAGGGGGCATGTCGCGCAATTCTGCAGAGTTGGTCTGGCCTGGAGGGCCTCTCCCAGGCTTTGGGAGCCAGGGACTCAGGCAGGGAAGAGGGCCAGCGAGGCATTCTCAGTGACCTTTGGTTCGCTGGGAAAGACTCAAAACCAGTAAAAGTTTAGCAAGCACCATTTAATGGTTGCCAAAACTTAAAACCCATATTTTTTTCCAAATGCACACTTTCTGAGAGGTAGAAAGACTATTTGAGGGCTCTATACGAAAAGATCTTTAGTTAGCTGTTTTTCCCTAGAAAATTTCCAACCCACCTGCTCTTGAAATTAAAACAAAGTATGTCATGAACTCAGTAAGATCTTCCGGTATCTTACTTCGTGACTTTGGGTGCGTTGATTTCAGCCTCTGAACCTCAATTTTCCCTTCTGCAGAGGCAATTTCCTGGTGGTTGGGTAGAACACTGGTAGTGGGGCCGGGGCCCTGGCTGCTGAGTGAGAAAGAGCCCAGAGTCCTGGCCAGAAACCTTTGGCCTGCTCAGACACCCCTTTCGGGTTTCTGTTTGTTGTTTTTCTATTCTCTGTACCCTTCCCATTCAGGTTGCCCACTCTCTCTCCCATCCTGGGGGAGGGGAAAGGCAGTCATTCACATGTTAGTGTAAACTGATTTCTCTTAGGGATTTTTTCCATAGTAACCCTGATCTTTCATTCACTCAATATTCATTACCGAACCCCCTGTGCCAGGATCTGGGCTGGGCATCTGGAATCAAAAACGAAAAGACCCCATCTCTGTCCTTAAGTGGTCTTCCCTAATTTTCAGCCACGTGGGAACAGACAGGAGAAATAAAATTTTGGGGGCTGGAGGGATGCGGCCCAACATTGCTTCTCAGGAAGGTCGAGTTTGAAGCGAAGTTTCCGGTTCTGTTCCTTTTCTGACTTTATAATCACCCTTCCTGTTGCCCTAGAGTTGTGAGGCTGTTGAAGAATCTTTAGAACCAGGATCTCACTTCAGAATCAGGAGAGCCTGGAAGGTGGCTCTAGTTTTACCATGAGAAAATAAAGCCTCAGAGAGATGAACAATCTGGCTGCTGGCGGGCTCTAGGCAGAGATAAGAGAAATGGAAGAACTCAGAGGCGACGTGGAGCTCGGCACTTGGGGTCATTGATGAGGTTGCTAGAAGCTGGGCTAGGCAGCTAGGTCACAGGTGGGGGAGACAAAGCTCCCACCCTCCAGGCAAGCTCCCAGAGTTGTTTGCATCAGTTCTCATTACTGTGTGGGCTGGGGAGAGCTTTGCATTTCTAAGATCTACCATTCCCTTTGGGGTTGAGATTATCACCTGGAAGAATTTAAAAAGAAACACTCATGGTGAATTTGGGCAAAACACAAAAAGGAGTACTTCAACTTTGTGCTCAGCGTAGATCATAATTTTGTTTTTTTAAATATAGACAGAAAAAAAGAATATTAATAATCTTGCTCCCTAGACGGCAGGGTTGTTTTCTAAACTATTTTATAGCTTCCAACTACTGTATTCAGTAATGAGCATATGTTCCTATTATCATCAGAAAATACATGTTATTTTTTAAAATACCATCAGCTTCATGTCAATCGTTGACCCTGAATAATTTGTCACCTCTTTGGGCCTCAGCTTTCTCACCTGTAAAATGGAGAGCTGAATTACAAGATCTGAGTCCCTTTCTCTTTGAAAAATTCAAATTAACTTATAGGGGGTACCTGAGCTTAGAAAGTCGGCCAGGCATTGGGCTCCTCCTGGAAAAAGTGAGGCTGAAGCAAGATCTCAAGGGAAGGAGAGAGTCTGGAATGATGGGGTGGGGGTGGGGAGTGAGAGCAGGAAGGAGCGGAGGGAGCAGAGAGGGCCAAGGGTGGCCAGTCTGGAGACATGCTAGACTGGGAAGATCCATTTTAGAGAACTGGAGGAGTAGAGGGGATGATGTCAAATTGGATTTAGGCCTGCGAATGAGATGGAGTCACAAGGCTGGGCAGGATACCTGAGGGTTCACAGGGCTGGCGCTATCTGGAGGTGCCGGAAGCACCTTGGAAACGCTGGGTGAGGCGAAGCGCACATCCTGGATTGGCGGTACCCATTTCCTACAAGAGGCCATTTCCTTCACATTAGGGCCTGAACCAAGTGTTGACAAGGGGCGGGGGGTACCAGGGTGCTCCTGGCACCAGAACACAGTGGTCTCCCAGCACACAGTAGGTGCTCAATAAATACTGAATGAATGACTACGTCATTGGGAAAGACATCTCTAGGCCTCGGTTTCCTCAACTGTGAAATGGCAGGTTGGGATGGAGACTGTAAATGACTGGGGAGACTAAGCCACAGCAACATTATGTACTCCCACGCGCAACACTCCCGTAGGGTGGTACCAGCCCTACTCAGCAAGTCGGCAGGCACATTGAGGCTCAGAGGGGCTGAGTCACTGGTTCGCGACTGCAAACCCAGCTTTTCCCACTCCACGCCGCTGTGCTAGTCACTTCCAACCTAAAAGCCACGTGCTGTAACCTAGTTTGGCCGCGAAAGTCTGAGCAGAAAGAAGGCGCCGGACCTACGGACACCTGGCCAGAGCCGCCGTCCCGCAGGCCTCCCCCCGCCCTCTCGCCTGTGGCATCCCAAGGCCCGATGGCACTTCTGGTAGAAGCTCGAGTTAGAGGCGGAGGGGCCCAGAAAGGGGTCCAGTCCTGGAGCAGCTCCGACGGGCTCGAGGCTGCTGCGCTCAGAGCGCGACATGAGGTGGGCGTTGGTTTCTACAAGGTGGCGGTGGCAAGGTGGTGCAAGGGCTGGCCTCCAAGTGCGTAGGTTTTCAAAAGCAGGAGGAAACCGACAGGGCTTCCGCGCCCTCTTGACGGGGTTGGGGTGGGGGGATGGGAGTCACAACGGTCCCACCCGAGCCGCAAGGCAGTAGTCCCCACCTCTGAATAGGAGGCGGGGAAAGAGTGGGTAGGGGGTCTGAGGCCGGGGGAGGAGTGAGAGGACCCAAAAGCTGCGGGAGGACGGATGGCGCGAACGGAACCTCCTCGGCAATTCGAGGCATCCTTTCCCGGGGATGATAACCGTTTGGGTCCCAATGACTCGTTTCCCGGCCCTGAGTCCTATTCAGTGACTGGGAGCGGGAAGGGAGTTTGACATCCTAAGTCCCACCCTCTGGCCGCAGGCCGAGGCCAGAGAGGGGAAGTTATTTCCTCAAGGTCACGCAGCGAAAGAGCGCGGAGCCAGGGCCAGACCTCAGAAGTCCAGCCCTCTTACTGTCACCCCCAAACCTGGTCCCCCGCAGCCCCGCGCTCGGGGGAAGGAGCATAGCGCAGACGAGAACTGGGCGACTAGATTTGGGGGTGAGAGGAGTGTGCCGGCACCTCACAGTCCCAGCTCCAGATATAAAGGGAGCCTCTTTCCGGAAGCCGGAGATCCGGGAGCCACGCTGCTGGCGCTCTTCGCGCGGGACTGCCGGAACAGGGACGCCGAGGGACTAGGGGGCGCGGGGCGCCGGGACCCCGGCTCCACCTTCCGCGGGCTAAGACGGCGCGAAGCGCGCGGCCCCTTTAAGAAAGTTCTCTAGGCGACTTCATCAAAGTTTAAAAAGTTGTCGTGGAGAACGGAGCCGGGGAAGAAGAGCTAGGGAGAGAGATGACGAGCGGAGAAGACATACCCTCGCGGAGGCTGGCGCGCCGCGGCCCGGGCCGGGGCGAGCCCGCAGTGGGCGGCGGGGATTGGCTGCGCCTTCCCCC